TGTGGGCAATCGCTCCTCAAGACACAAGGCCCAACTCAAGTGCCACCTCCTCCAGGAAGCCTCCCTGGGCCTCCTCCGTGTCCCGTGCCTCCCTGGCCCCTTCTACCACTTCTTTTGGCCCTTCGTCACCACCAATATCCCGGCCTCTGTCTTAAAGGCGGTGACTGCATTCTTACCGCTGCCTCCTCACCAGGTACCAGCCCAGCCCTGGCCCTCAGCCCTTACTTATGGGTGTTAAGTGAACTCACCTCCTGGGGTGAGGAAACGATAACAATAGTAATAATAATAATAATAATAATAATAATAATAGCTACCCCAGGTCAGGCAGTGAACTTCATGGCTCATCACAGACGAGGCAGACGAGGCCCAGGCGAGGAAGCGGCTTGTCCAGGGTCCCTCTGCTCATGAGAGGCAAAGCCAGGGTTTGAACTTGGCGTCGTCTGACTGCAAATGCTTGTTGGGTCATAGAGGTGGGAGCGTGAGGGGTAGCCCCCTAGCCCATGGCCTGTAACCCTGCGCCGCCCCCTCCCGCAGCCGTGCCCCGCACGGCTGAGCCTCTGCGGGGAATCCAGCCCCCGGAGTGTCCATGGAGGGGTCCCAGGAGGACGCACCTGCCCTCGCGGTGGTTGCGGTCAGTCTAGGGGACAAGGACCCCCTTCCTACGCTGGCCGTGACCATCCATTCCCCGGACGTGCCCGGACCGGGTGCCGGGGAGAGGCTCCCTCTGGAGGGGGGCCTCCAGGAGGAGGTGACGTTTCAGAGCAGCCTTCAAGGAGGCTTTGCCCAAGGGTGAGCCGCTGAGGAAGACGAGAACAGGGAGGGCACGGAGCACGGGTCAGCAGAGGCCAGGGGTGAGTCCGCGGAGAGCATCGCGGGGTGGACCGGGGAATGAGTGGGTGAACCCTGGGGGGGCCGGAAGGGGGTGAGGAGGGCCGGTGTGGGAAGTAGCTCGGCAATGCCAAACGGATAGAGTGGGCGCGGGTGGCTATGCAGGGAGGAAAATGGATGGGGTGGGAGGGTCCATGGGTGTGTAGGTGGATGGATGGGTGGGAGCGGATGGATGGATGGACAGGGGTGTAAACAGCGGGTCACCGGAGCGGTGAGTACGTGGTTGGATGGGTGGGTCGTAGGTCAATAGATGGATGGATAAGGAGGTAGCTAAAGGGATGGGGAGAGGGGTGAGTAGATGAACACACAGGTATGTTGGCAAGGTAGATGACGAACGAGCAGTTGCATCTGGGGGTGGGTGGACACATATGCGGTAGAGGACTGGGCAGAGAGGTCAATGGGCAGATGATAAACCGACCAGAAGCCCAGCCAGATTTTGGGGTGGGAAGGGTACCTGCTCACTAGGGCAGGGCTGGGGGCTGGTACCCTCCCGGGGCTGGTGGATGTGGCCAAGACAACTCGCTCAGCTCAAGGCTCCCGCTGCAAACCTCCCTGGAGCCTGGCGGACAGCCACTGGCATTCCTGGGTCCCCCAGGGAGAAGTTCCTCTCTCTAGCTGTGCCCTGCCCCCTTCATCTCAGCTCCACAGGGGACTTCGGCCCAGAAACTGCCTCCTTCCCATGAGCCCCATGCCTCGGCCCAGCCAGCCTCGGGGAGGGGGAGGGGGCGGCTGAGCTCTGTGACTGTGGCCTGAGGCGTCTCATTCCTCCTGGACAGGAGATGGGGGATCCGGGCTCCAGGCAGCCAGGCCCACCTCTCAGCTCCCCGTCCCAGCTGGCAGGCATTCGTTCTGCATTCTGCTCGGTGATTGCAGCTTTGCCAGGGTTAACCCCTGCGTCCCTGTGCACAGCTCGGGGGAAGGAGGGGACCACAGGACCCATCCCTAGATCCTTCAGGCGTCTTCAAACTACGGCCCGCGGGCCATATGCGGCCCTCAGAGGAGTCTGATCCGGCCCGCCAGGTTTTTTGGGCAGTGAGCGCAGCCAAGGTGTTACAGAAGGAATTAGTAGTTCATATAGTCTGGCCCTCCAGCTCTCTGAGGGACTGTGATCTGGCCCCCACTTTAAAAAGTTTGAGGACCCCTGCTTCACAGCAATGCCCAGACCCTCCTGTTATCCCATTTTCCAGAGGGAAAAACTGAGTTGTATCCTTAAATCAAGAGTGGAGTCAGGAACAGGAATGCAGCCTCCATGGAGGGGTACTCCTATCCGGGAACGAGGGATGAGAGGTCCTCTCAGCCTCAGTTTACCCATCCGTAAAGTGGGGCACAGAATTCCTGACTCAGTTTGCCTCGCAGTGAGCTAACAGAGACACGCGTCTGACACATAGGAGGACGGTCCCCTGCCCACCCCCGGACCAGAGGACGGAGTGAGTGTGTGGCAGGTTGTAACCATTTTCGTTAAGACCGCTTTCTTAGCTGTCTCTCTGGGGCTCCCACGAAGTAGTCAATACCCCCATGCAGCCAATATCTGCCCTGGAATTATACCCACTTTATAGACAAGAAACTGAGGCTCAGAGAGGCTCAGCACCTTGCCCACGGTCACAAAATGGCCGGGAAGCCCATGAGTGGCCTGGATTTGGGCGCTGAGCCTCTGCCCTCCCAGCAGACACTTCCTTCGCCGGCCGCTCCGAGGCCCCTCTGACGAGAGTGACATGTACGCTATTGTCTGCCCAGATCACCTTGGAGAGTGAAAGGAAGTGCTATTAATATTTCGCTGGGGCCGTCGGCATCATCTGGAACTGTACTGAGCAAGCCAGGAAGTGCGGACATCCTGCTGCAGCGAGCGGCTCGGGGCAAGTCACTCGATGCCTCTGTGAAAGGGACCTGGCGGCAGGCAGCACAGCCCCGACAGGGCTTTTGTGAGGATTACGTGTGGTGATGCACAGAGCGGCTGTAGGGCCAGGTATGCACTGATGCTAACTTATGCCGACATTACTACTGTCCCCATCCTCCCAGTCCATTCCGTGCTCACGCGATGGCTTTCAAACGCACCCCTGCCCTGGCCAATGTTGCTCAGTGGGTAGAGCGTCGGCCCGCAGACCGAAAGGTCCCGGGTTCAATTGTGGTCAAGGGTACGTGCAACCGAGGCACGTGCCTCAGTGGCAGGCTCCTCCCCAGCCTGGGACCTGGTCAGGGTGAGTGCAGGAGGCAACCAATCGAAGTGTTTCTCTCTCCACATGGATATTTCTCTCTGTCCTTCCTTCTCTCTTCCACTCTAAAAAACAATGGGAAAGTATCTTCGGGTGATGATTTAAAAAAAACAAAACAGCCAAAACCGGTTTGACTCAGTGGATAGAGCTTCGGTCTGCGGACTAGGAGGTCCCGGGTTCGATTCCGGTCAAGGGCATGTACATTGGTTGCAGGCATATCCCCAGTGGGGGGGTGCAGGAGGCGGCTGGTCAATGTTTCTCTTTCATTGATGTTTCTAGCTCTCTATCCCTCTCTCTTCCTCTCTATAAAGAACCAATAAAAATACATTTTTAAAAAAAACCACACACCTGATCACGCTGCCCGCTGGTCCCATCCCTGCCTCGGTGAGGGAGGCTGCACGCTGGGGCCCAGCGTTAACCCCTCAGACCTGGCCCGGTTTCTCTCCCAGCCCTGGACTGTGCCCACAGACTCTTGATGAGGCATTTATAGGAGTCCCTGCCTCTCGGGCACTGCCCCCCTCCTCCCTCGCCCTGCTCTTGGCTCCTCTGAGACTATCCCCGATCCTCCCTGAGACAGAGCCTGGCCCTAGGGAAAGAGCTCACAGACTGGAGCCTCGGTTGTACCCCTGTGCTACTTGAGCAAGCGCTGGAGTGCTCTGTGCCTCGGTTTCCCCATTTTCCAGTTGTGCCAGTAACCCCCTCCCCTGGCGGCCAGCAGGAGGATTCAGGAAGACAACGAAAAAGCCCAGCACTCTGCACACTCCCGTCTCCTCACCCTCCACCTGTGGGGACACAGGGCTCCTTGTTCGGGTGCTCAGACCACTTCCTCCAGCCATGCCTGCCTCCTCCCTGGGGATCCTCAGCTGCAGCCTTTGGCTGGTGCTCTCTCCTGCCAGGCGTGTGGGCACTTCCACTGCCCTTCCCTCTGCCCAGGTATCCCTGGCAGCTTAACTCAGTATTATCTCCCCTGGTCACCTCAGTGAGCCCGCCCCTCTCCTGAGAGCCTGGTGGGCCAGCGCCCAGGACTTCCTGCCTGTCCTTGGAGCTCACAGACCCTGAAGCAGAGTCAGAGCTCTCTCTCCTCCTTGAGGATGGCACGGGGTCTGTGCACAGCAGATCCCCTGGCCTCAGGGGCGGGGAGGGTGCTCAGTCCAGCTTTCTGACCCATCCGTCTGAGGGGTGATCTCATTTACCTGCTCAGCCAGCCTCCCAGGTGCTGACAGGGCAGAGCCCTTAGTAACAACAGCTGAGGCCGCCTGCTTTTATCATCCCATTTCACAGGCAGGGAAACAAAGGCTCAGAAGAGGTCAGTCACGGCCCGGGCAGAAGAGGAAGGCAGGCGGCTGGGTTTCAGGGTCCACGTTGTTGAGACCACCCCACCAGGCCACACCCCTCCCTGGCCTGCGTGGCCTGTCCCCCCAGTCTGGCTCCAGGCCGTGCCCTGCTGGCACCTGTGGGGCCTCTATAGGATCGACAGGAATGGGAGAAAGGGCGTGGCCAGCCCAGCTGGTAGAACTCAAGGCCTAAGCTGGTCTCTGGCATTCAAGGCCTCCGAGGTCAGGCACCCCGGCTCCCCCAACGCCCGCAGGAAGCGGATGGAGCGCCCAGGAGGGTGTCGCCCCGGGCAGAGCACCCCTGGGTCCAGCACAGAGCCTCAGGGAGGGCTCGGGGCTGCAGACAGACGACCCGAGCCGCCCAGCCCGGACAGCCCGCGCATTCCCGGCTCCTCCCGCCGGGACGGGACGGCTGGCCCGGCGATCCCGCCACTCCCCCTCCCTCCAGCTCCGGCCGCCGCTGGGGCGGCGTGCTGGGTGCCCGGGAGGGGCCCCGAGGGGGCGGCCCCGCCCGCGGGGGGAGGAGGGAACGGGAGGAGGGCGCGCGCCCACACCCCGCCCCCGCCCGGGAGCCAGCCCGCCGAGCCCGCAGCCAGGGCGGCGCAGACCGGCCCGGCCACCCGCCCCGCTGCGCGCCGGGACCCGCCGCCACCGCCACCGCCGCCGCCACCGCCACCGGGTCCGGGGCGCCGAGAGAAGGTAACCGCCAGCGGCCCGCGGGCCCCGGGCCCCGGGTGGGCGGACGCGGCGGGGGGACACGGCGCCCCGAGACACTGCACCCTCCTGGGCTCCCCGGGGCGGAGAGGGCGCGCGGTGCCCACAGGAAGGCCCGGAGCGCCGGGCATGGAGAGCACGGGGACCCTTCAAGTTTGGGGCGGTTTTGCCGCGTCCCCGGCTGGAGGAGACGGGCAGAGGTTGGGGGGACGGCACCCGGGGCGGCAGGAGGAGGGGGCGAGCCGAGGGGGCCGTCTAAGCGCCTTCCCGCCGGGAAGGGAAGGGAAGGGAAGGGAAGGGAAGGGAAGGGAAGGGACGGAGCGGGGAGGGGGCCGCGGGTGGGAACGCCGGCTCCTCGCGGCCGGCGCGGAGAGCGGGGAACGGGGGGAATGGACGGAGCACCCTGCCCCCTCCCCAGCCGCTGCATTCCAGGCCGGGCAGCGGATGAGGTCATCCCGTCCGGTCCCCCTCCGGCCACGCAGCCCCGGAGCCGGCGGTCCCCTTCCCGCCCCCGGGAGCGACCCTGCGCCTTCCAGCTGCTGCCCCGGGCATGTGTGTGTCTGAAGTCCTTCCCGGACCTCCGGGCCCGCCGCCTGGAGAGACTCTCCGTCCTGGTCCCTGCCGCGCCGCCCGCGCAGCCTGCAGCCCGCGGTCTGGACGGGGCGGCTGGCTCCCGGGGCCCGGGGGCCGGCCTGGGGCGCCCGCGGCCCGGAGCGCGCGGGGACGGCGCCGGGTCTGTGGGTCTCAGCCTCCCCCTCGCCCGGGGAGGACTGGCTGGGCTCTAACTTGGGGGGTGGGGGGGCTAGAAGCGACTCCCCTACACACACACACACACACACACACACACTCATATACACGCACATACACACACACACATACACATGCACACACACGTACACATGCACACACACACACTTCGCTCCCGGCCCGGGTCCCCGCGGAGACTTCAGACAGCTTGCCACTCCTTTCTGGCCTCAGTTTCCACGTCTCTCCACCCTGAAACGGCTGGCCTTTGAGAAGCCAACCTCTCCCCTGCCCCCGGAGTGTGCCCCTTTCCAGGAGCCCTAACCAAGATAGGGTCCCGCCGTCCTTCGGCTGGCGTGGCGTCACCCAGCAGGGAGGGGGCTGGTGCACGCGACGGGCCTCCAGGATGCGAGGCAGAGGCCTGGGGGGCCCCGCAGGCTGGGTGACCCCACAGGCTGGGTGGCTCTTAGGGGAGCGCCAGAGTGCGGCCGCCCCCGCGCGCGCCGCTGCCTCCCCCGCAGCCAGACACGCTCCGCTCGGCGCCGGGCCTCCTTCCACCACATGTGTCTCCACAGCGGCCCCTATCGGCCGCTCCTGGTACACCGTCCCGGCCTGGGGCCTCAAACCCTGTCTCTGTGGTCATTCCCACCATTGAGTAACCGCCTACCATGTGCTCAGGCCTGACTCTCCTCTGTCGGTAAATAGAAGGATTCCTGGAACCCCGAGGCTGCTGCGTGATGACCAGTCTTGCCTGAATGTATAGAGCTGAGCCGCCTGCCTCCCAGACATGCCCTTCCCAGGCTGGGGGGCTGGCCAGGGTCTCCCCCAACGCTCCCTCACACCTCCGGAGTCTCCACCCACCCCTCCCCTGGCGCTTACTGCTGATGTTGGTTGAATGCTGGGAAAGTCCCAGACACTCCGCTTTTTCTGCTCTGTGACCGGGGCAAGCTAATTCCTTCTGTATCTTGTTTCTTCATCTGTGAAATGGATGTTGTGGCCGTCAGCAGGTAGTATTCCAAGGCTCGTGAAGGCAGGTAGGACTTGTCCGCAGACATCCTGAGCCCTGCTTACTCCCGGGCCAGGCGGGGCACCCGGAGGCCAGCCCTGCCCTGTGGTCCGCATTGAGCAGAGACCCCAGAATGAGAGACGTCAGTATGAGGAAGTTGGATCTGAGCCTAAAGTGACCCTGGCCCAGTGTCTAGGGTTTGATTACTAACCTTCTCCTCTCAGAGCGCTCCCGGGAGGGGCCGGCCTCAACGCTGTTCTCGTTTCCACGGGGGAAAAGCAGGTCCCCGGTATCAGTGTCCTGCCCTTGGCCCCACAGCGGGCAGGGTCTCTCTACTGCAGTGGCAGGAGGGCCCCGAGGCATTGGGAGGGGGATCCTCACAAGATTGGGGCACAGGCTGGTCTCCCAAGTAAGTCACAGTGGCCACGGGGGTTTGGCAGGAGCTCCTTTGGCTGAGAGGAACAGCTGCTTCAAGGAGCCAGGAAGGCCCTGGCCGGTTTGGCTCAGTGGATAGAGCACCGCCTGCGGACTGAAGGGTCCCAGGTTCGATTCCAGTCACGGGCACATGCCCGGGTTGTGGGCTCGATCCCCAGTGAGGGTCGTGCAGGAGGCAATCAGTCAATGATTCTCTCCCATCACGGATGCTTCTCTCCCTTTGTCCCTCTTCTTCCTCTCTGAAATCAATACAAATATGTTTAAAGGAAAAGTAGAAGCCAGGAAGCTGGGGGGCGAGGAGAGAAGTGGGTGTGGCCACATAGCAGACACGGTGACCCCTCCGCACGCCAGTTCAGAATGATCCCCCAACCCAGTGTCTTCTTCCAGACATCCATCCCTCATCTGCAGAGCAGGCTAAGCTGGCCTGTGCCATGTCCCTGCCCCGTGACCTTGGCCAAGCCCCTGCCCTCGAACCCGGGCTCTCCCTGTGAGGCGGGCTGACCCTCCGTTCGCGGGGCTGTTGGAGAATCAGATGGCATCACGTAACGGCTGGCCAACTGCAGCGGCCTCACAGCCACAGCAAACATTCCACGCGGGCTTCTCGGTGCCAGGGGTGCCAGGGGTGCCAGGGGAAGGGATGATTCAGAAACACCCCCCCCCCAGGGGAGGGGTTAGGGTTGGGGGAGGATCAGATGGTGGGAAGGAAAGAGAATGCAGCTCCAACACAAAGCAAGCTTTGTTTTAGGGCCGCCTTTGTTTTTATCTTGTTATTTAACCTATTTTGAATTTCAAATAACATTCAAAGGGCAGTGTTGAGATTTTTACGCTTGGAGGTGGTGGCAGCAAAGTTGGAAAGAAAAAAAAAAAAATTGAGGCCCAGATCTAGGTGTTCTTGCTAGAGATGATTATCAGCTCTTGTCAGCTGAGGTCCCAGGCACCTGGAGGTAAGTGCCTCGCCCAAGGTCGCTGGGGAGCCGCCGAGTCCCCCACGTCCCCTCCTCGGAAGGGAGCAGGGGGTGATCTTGTAGCGCCGAGGTTATCCTGCGGCACCAAGACCTCCCGATTACGCCGGTGTTGGCTTAGCGCTCGCCCGCGCAGGGACCGAGCTGGGTGCCGGGAAGGAGGAAGGCCGGAAAAGCCAGGCAGGTGCCCCGCCCTCCGCGGGTGCTGCCAACCCGGGGAGACAAGACTGGGCCCCGGGAGCCCGTCAGAGGCTCTGTGAGTCAGCGGCTCCGAGTTCAAGTCTCGACTGGCTCTCTTCATGTGACCTTGAGCAAGCGTGGCCGCCTCTGGGCGCCAGGGAGACGGAGGTTGGACCAGAGGCCCATCGGTGCCCGTCAGCCGGCACTTTGATATACTGGCAGGGATAGGGTGAGACCCAGAGGAGTTCTGGGAAGATTGTGGTGAGATCGGAGGGGAGGCAGTGGGCAGGGAACTCTGGCTTTTGGTGCCAGCTGAGCTTTTCCTAAACGCATTCCCTGATGACAAGGCTCCCACATACATCACTGTGACCAGCGATGACAAAGGCCTTTCCTGCCGCCTCCTCCGAGCCCCGGGCCGGCAGGAGACATCTGGAAAAAGCCACTTGGGAGCACAGGATCCCTTTCTCAGGAAGCACCTTGAAGGCGGAGGGTCCTTAGGATCCTCTGTGTGGGTGTTTACACAGCCCCTCACCGAGGCTGTGCCAGGCACCCTCCCTCCTGGCCACTCAGACAGACGGCGGCAATTGAACCCACAGAGAAGGGAGGTGCCTCGCTTGGGGTTCAGGGATCTGGGGTGAGGGGCCCTGCTTCCCCATGTCCTCCTGCGTAGCCTCAGGTAAGTCCCTTTACTCCGCTGGCTTCGTGTCTCCCCTCTAACGTAGCGCTCCCTCAGGGCTGCTGTGTGAGTGACATGCGTGATGAGCATGGGCACGTAGTAGGTGCTTCGTAAACGGGCCCTGTGGAGTGGCCACACACACTACGCGGGCAGCTCTGTGAGCTTGGTGCTCCCCGTCGATACCTGTCAAAGGCAACCCCAGCTCCGATGTCGCCTCGGTTGTCCAGTTTGGCCTGCGCTTCTGTTTCCAGTCTGCGGACGCATGTCAGCACTCCGTCGGGGGCCCCCTCCGTCCCCCCCGTTGTTGGCTGTCAGCGTATTCCCTTTGGCGTTGCTTTGTGTGTGTTTTTTAATATATTTTATTGATCATTTACGACACATGTGTCAAACACAAGGCCCGCGGGCCAAATCCGTCCCGCCAGGCCTTGCAATGTGGCCCGCACCGCGCTGTCATCACTGCACTCCGCTGCGTTTCCATCACAATGACAGTTTATGACTGTTCAGTAAACCATTCGGCCCGCGATTTAGGCTGGATTTTAGATTTTGGCCCCTTCTCTGATTGAGTTCGACACCCCTAATTTACGAAGAGGAAGGGAGAGGGGGAGAGAGCTAGAAACATCGATGAGAGAGATACATCCATCAGCTGCCTCCTGCACACTCCCTACTGGATATGTGCCTGCAACCAAGGTATATGCCTTTGACCGGAATCGAACCCGGGATCCCTGAGTCCTCAGGCCGATGCTCTAGCCTAGGGGTGTCGAACTCAATCAGAGAAGGGGCCAAAATCTAAAATCCAGCCTAAATTGCGGGCCGAATGGTTTACTGAACAGTCATAAACTGTCATTGTGATGGAAACGCAGCAGAGTGCAGTGATGACAGCGCGGTGCGGGCCACATTGCAAGGCCTGGCGGGACGGATTTGGCCCGCGGGCCTTGTGTTTGACACATGTGCTCTAGCCACTGAGCCAAACTGGTCAGGGCTCTTTGGCGTTTCTTATGTGGCCCGGAGTCCCCAGGCCCACCATCCCCTTTCTCTCTTTCTCTCAGGTCCCCAGCTGGGCGGGAGAGGGGCTGCCCACAGGCGTGCCCGCCCCGTCCTTGGACAGAACACCTGCAGCTGACTCCACGGGGCCAGGAGCCAGGCCTCAGGGAGAGACCGGCCATGGGCCCCCCGCAGCCTCGGCCTTCGGGGGCAGCACCTTAGGAGAACAGGGGCGGACGGAGAACACCCAGGAGGAGGGCACTGCCACGGACCCGCCGCCCGCCCCAGGCCCCAGCTGGGCATGGACCAGCACCTGTGACCTGCCGGAGCTGATGCCGGGCCCGCAGGGGGCCGGAGGAGCCCCCACCATGAGCCTGGGCAAGCTCTCCCCCGTGGGCTGGGTGTCCAGCTCGCACGGGAAGCGGCGGCTGACGGCAGACATGATCAGCCCCCCGCTGGGGGACTTCCGGCACACCATGCACGTGGGCCGCGGCGGGGACGTCTTCGGCGACACCTCCTTCCTCAGCAACCACGGGGGCAGCTCGGGGGGCAGCCACCGCTCGCCCCGCAGCTTCCTGGCCAAGAAGCTGCAGCAGGTGCGCCGCGTGGGGGCGCTGCCCCGGCGGTTAGCCACCCCGTCGCCGTCGGCGGCCTCGCCGGCTCCGCCCGCCGTCTCCCCCATCATCAAGAACGCCATCTCCCTGCCCCAGCTCAACCAGGCCGCCTACGACAGCCTCGTGGTGAGCAAGCTCAGCTTCAGCAGCAGCCCCGCCGGCTCCGCGGACGGCCACTCCGGTTACGGTGAGCGCCCGGGCGGGCGGGCGGGCGGGCGGGCGATCGGTCCGTTTTTTCCGATGCTCGGACCCAGACGGATCAACACGCCTCCCAGCGAGCTCTTTTCCCCACAGCAGTCTGGTGTCCCCATGGAGGCCAGGCCCAAACCCCACCCCGTGGAGGGGGTGAGGAGGGGTCAGAGGGTGGGAACCAGCCCACTCCCCAAAATACACAGACAAACCTGGACAACCACTCGTGTGGGCAGAAGCCAGAGGCCCTCCCTGCCCTGGGGGGGAGGGAGGCAGAGGCAGGCGCTGTCTTGGTGCCCCTGGACAGCTCACCTGGGAACCAGGGTTCTGGTTCCTGCTGCCACCTAGTGGCCATTCCCTGCCTTGCAGCCTTGCCCCAGCAATCCTGGATGGCTCCAGTGCTCCCCCCTATGGGTCTCTGCTGAGAACCCCCGCTGAGGGCTGAGGGGGGGGGGGCGGGGCGGGGCTTCTGGAGGGCATCCTCTGAGTCTGTGACTTCCAGCGGTCCGACCCTGGCTGCTGGTTTCATCACGGTGACCAGCCCACATTCTGTGGGTCCACCTTCAGCATCAGCCACCTATCAGGCCAAGCTCACAGTGGGAACTGAGACTGAGGGAGATCTGTGCCTCAGGCTGGGTTCTACCGCCTCAGACTGTGGCCCCCGTCAAGCCCTTCCCCTCTGAGCCTCACTTTCTTCATCTGCAAAAGGGGGGTGAGGATTATGTCAGCGGTCAGCTGCCAGGGTCCCGTGAGAGACTGCTGGGGTCCCCATACTGGAAAGACGGGAGGAACCGAGTCCAGATGGGGGAGAGCCCTGCTGGAGAGGGCACATGGCAGGCGCTGCCCTCCCCAGGTGCTGGTCAGGGACCCCAGCTCTGACCCCGCTCCCCATCTCCCTCCTAGGTGTGGACTCCGGGTTCTGCACCATCGCCCGTGTGGCCCGCCCGGAAAGGCCTCATGACCGAGACCATGACAGTGCCTCCTTCCCCTCTGAACCCGAGCTTCGCCGCTCTGACTCCCTCCAGTCTTTCCGCCTGGACCTCGACCTGGGGCCGTCTCTCCTCAGTGAGCTGCTGGGGGTCATGAGCCTCTCAGAAGGCTCCGCAGCAGAGACTCCAGCCCCAGCCGCTGCTGCGAGCCCCCCAGCCCCTGCCTCAAGCCCCCCAGCCCCTGCCTCAAGCCCCCCAGCCCCTGCCTCAAGCCCCCCAGCCCCTGCCTCAAGCCCCCCAGCCTGTGGACGCTTCCCCAATGGGGTAACGGCTGGGTCTGGCCCAGTGGCTGAGGCGAGGGCCGGCCCTGTGGGAGAGTGTCCCCGGGCCCCTGCTGACATGGCCCCCGGCAGGCCCTGGGGAGCCGGCTGGAGCGGCAGCCGGGGCAGCCGCCACTACACGGAGATGGATGCCCGGCAGGAGCTGGTGAAGGTGCTGCCGCAGGGCCGGGCCTCTTGGGAGAGCCTGGATGAGGAGTGGGGGGCGCCCCAGGCGGCCGGTCGGGCCCCTGTGCCCAGCACGGTGCAGGCAAACACCTTCGAGTTCGCCGATGCCGAGGAGGAGGACGACGAGGTCAAGGTGTGAGCGGCTGAGTTAGGGCTCAGGACCCGCCCAGCCCCAGACCGCTCACTGCCCAGGAGGAGCCCAGGCACAGAGCTCGCCCCCGCCCGCGCCTGGTCCTGCCCATGACGGACGGAGGACCTAAGCTGCCCCCAAACCCTCCACGCCTCTGCTGGACAGACATGGGAGGAAGGCCAGGCGTGTTCTGGGACCTGGGTGTCCCGAGGGCCCTGACCTGCTGCCCCCCACCCCCCACTGCCACTCCGGACCCGGTGGCCATGCCTCCGGCCCCGCCCCGCCCCCGCTGGCTGGAGGGCCAGCCTCACAGAGCGGCCTTTGTGTGCTTGCTGGGTGGGGGGTAGGGAGCATACCATACAGGGCCTCTGTCTCCTCCCAAAGGGGCCGCCTGCCCCCGCTCGTCCTGAGGCCTCCCCCACACGCCCACCCCAAACCCCACTGGTCCCTGAAGCCTCGAGGTGAAGTCAGGTGTGACCCCGCCCTCCTGTGCACCCCAGACCGGCCTCCGGGTCCTGATTAAAAGCTTTTTCACACGCGGTGTCCTGGCGCGGTGTGGGGACCAGGGGAGGGGGGGACGGGGTCCGCTCCGCCTGCTTCCCTGCCCTCCGCCTTGCACCCCGCAGGGCCCCCCGCGCACGCTCGGAGGGGCCACGGGTAATGAGTAACCAGCTGGGAGGAATGTTCCCGAGATAAGAGGCCCAGGTGGGAGCCCTTATCGGCAGTTCCAGGAACAGCCCCTGGCCCAGGTGCCTGGATCGGTACCCGCCTCCGATCCCACTGGGCAGCTTGGCACCTTCCCTGGTGATAACAGGGCCAGGGAGGCGGGAGCAGGCGCTCAGAGGTGTTTGGAGGTGTGTCCCGGCGCCGACTTGGCAGTCCCGGGCCCCTGTGCCTCAGTTTCCTCCTCTGAATCATTAAAATGCATGGGGAACACTGACCAGTTTCTGCCACAGACCGGATCAAGGTGGATTCTTGTTTAATATGGTATTCTCTTTTTTTCATTTTTCATTGACTTCTTTTTAGAGAGAGGAAGGGAGAGGGATAGAGAGCTAGAAACATCGATGAGAGAGAAACATCGACCAGCTGCCTCCTGCACACCCCCTACTTGGGATGTGCCAGCAACCAATGTATTATACATGCCCCTGACGGGAATCGAACCCGGGACCCTTCAGTCCGAAGGCTGACGCTCTATCCACTGAGCCAAACCGGTTTCGTCTCTTTAATTTTTTATTGATTTCTTTTTAGAGAGAGGAAGGGAGAGGGATAGAGAGAAACATCCAACCGGCTGCCTCTTGCATGCCCCCTCCTGGGGATTGAGCCTGCAACTGGGGCATGTGCCCTGACCCAGTGACCTCCTGGCTCACACCACTGAGCCACACCGGCTGGACAAAGGTGGATTCCTAATTTGGCCTTAGCCCTGGGGGAGGAAAGGGGACAGAGGGGCAGGGACTGGGCGGGGAGCCAGGGCCTGGGCCTGCTGGTCCCATGTGGCTGGAAAGAAGCTCGGGATCGGAAGCCGGTGTGAGGGCTCTGCCGTTCCCGTTGGAGGAGGAGAACCTGAACCCACCCAGCGCGCTCAGGGAGCGCAGGGGGCTGTGGCCCAGCCTGTAGGGAAAGGTCAGCTGGTGCCTGTCCGCCCACTTCACCTTGAACTTGTCACTCAAAGGTCACGGTGAACTGCAGGGGGAGGGACGGTGTCAGGGAGGCAGGAGGCACCCTGGGACTGGGCCAAGGCAGGGCCCAGGGCTCCCTACCATCTGGGCTGTCCCTCTGGCATTGTCCTCGGGCCCCTTTCCCCTGTGACCTCACCGTGACCTCTGACCCTGGGCTGAAGCACAAGTGATTTTTCCATTGCTCCTGCCCCCAGTTGCCCTCCAGCGAGTTGCAGACAATGGTGGGTTGAAATGGAGGTCCAGCTGAGGGAGATAATGGTCCTTGCTACTGAAGACCTATCACGTTTGACCCTAAACCCTTGTCAGCCTAAGGCGGGGAGCTGCCTGTCCTTAGACGTGTGCAGTCAGGGATGTGTGACTTCGGGGAGAATCACTCCAGAAGCCCGGGTGAGACCTTAGGAGTTCGCTGAATGGGAGGGCTCAGACCAGCGGGATCCCACTTTCCTGCAACCTTGAGGGCCACGTAGGAGAAAAGGGTGAGTGTTCTCTTGGCTCCTTTCCTGTGCACCTGCCTGTTCCCTCCCCAACCGACAAGTGAGGCTGGTCCGTGCCAGGAAGTGCTGACGCTGTTTACACACACAGGAGCCTCCTGCTGAGCGGCAACCCAGCGGATCAATGTCTGCTTCTAATGGAGAGGGTGCAAACGAGGCCCCTCGGCGCCCCCTGGTGGCTGCCTCTGGTCTAACGTGGTGAAAGGCTGGCCTCCTGCCCCTCAGCGGGGTAAAGAGGGTGGTGTCCTGGGGTGTAGCTCTCAGTACAGGCACCTGGCCCACAGGGGGCTGGGCAGTCCATCCTCCTTCAAGCTGGTTGGGAGAATTCGAGATCGTGTGTGTGTGTGTGTGTGTGTGTGTGTGTGTGTGAAGCCGCACGCATGGATAGGGCCTGGCACAGACTAAGCAAACTGAGGGGCGACCTTCATTATGATTACTTCCTGTGAGCCAGGCTGAGGGGGCAGCTGAACAAGAGGGATGCTGTGGGATTGCAGGCCCAGCACCCCTGTCTCCACTCAGCAAAGCCTGAGGCCCGGAGAGAGACTGGGAGGCAAAGCTGGGGTGGGGGTTGGGGGTCCAGGTCTAGTGCCCACTTTGTGCTTAACTGGCTGAGTGACCTGAGGCCAGCTGTGCCCCTTTCTGGGCCTCAGTTGCCCCATCTATAATCCTATATAATAAAGAGGTAATATGCAAATTGACCATCACTCCAACACACAAGATGGCTGCCCCCATGTAGTCAAAGATGGCCACCACAAGATGGATGGCAGGGGAGGGCAGTTGTGGGTGATCAGGCCAGCAGGGGAGGGCAGTTGGGGATGACCAGGCCTGCAGGGAAGGGCAGTTGGAGGTGACCAGGCTGGTAAGGGAGGGCAATTAGGGGCTATCAGGCTGGCAAGGGAGGGAAGTTAGAGGTGACCAGGCTGGCAGGGGAGCAGTTAGGCGTTCATAAGGCTGGCAGGGGAATGGTTAGGGGTGATCAGGCTGGCAGCCATAAGCAGTTAGGGGCATGCAGTCCTGGATTGTGAGAGGGATGTCTCAGATTGGAGAGGGTGCAGGCTGGGCTGAGGGACACACACACCCCTGTGCACAAATTTCATGCACTGGGCCTCTAGTCTATAACAGACTTGGCCTAGGAGGTCTTTGGAGAGGAGGAAAGAGAGGGAGAGGGTGAGTGACCAGGAGAGGAAGAACGTCGGGAGAGTGTCTGGGCCCCAAGGTCCTCCCTGAGAGGCAGGGAGCACCCTCCAGGCACACCACTCTCGCCTCACCTGTACTGGCTCGAATAGGTGTCCCAAACATCCGTCCAGCTGGACCCTGTGAATGGAGCCCCAATTTGGAAATTGGGTCTTTGCTGCTGTAAGCAAGTTAAGACCAGGTGCTATCGGTTAGGGTGAGCCCTAAATCCAGTAGGACTGCTGACCTTACAAAAGGAGGGAAATTTAAAGCCAGAAACACACACACAGAGGAGAAAGCCATGTGGAGAAAAAGGAAATAGAAAAATGTATTACTCGCTCTGGCTGGTTTGGCTCAGTGGATAGAGCATCAGCCTGCAGACTGAAGGGTCCCGGATTCCATTCTGGTCAAGGGCATGTACCAAGCTGATGGATGTTTCTTTCTCATCGATGTTTTAACTCTCTCTCCCCCTCCCTTCCTCTCTGTAAAAAAAAAAAATCAATAAAATATATTAAAATAAATAAATAAATACAATAAAAGCAATACCCAGTGGGTGTAAAAAACAAACAACAACAACAACAACAACAAACCACACATCTAGAAGTATCTACCACAAAGTGTTAAGAAGTGGAGGAGGGAGTGAGAGGGCTGAGGCTGAGGTTGCTAGGGATTGACATGCTCTGCTCTCCACATCTATTCTTGGTTTTTTTACCTCCTATTACTTATCGACATGCTCACCGCAGGCAGTGAGAGCCATTAATTAAGCAGCAAAACAGCGCTGGGCACCCCCCCCACCCCACCGGGAGAAACCCGCTTTCTCTCCCGGCATTGGTGGTTTGCCATGGATCGACCCCCGAGACTCCCCTCCAGCTGACCCTACTTCCTTCCGCAAACACGAAAGCCCACAGATCTGTATTTCAGGGATTTATGTTCACGGCAGTGCGATGCCTAGATCTATTCAGCCCGTCTCCTTCTGCTCAATACATACATGAATCCCAAGTGCTAGCTATTAAACCTGCTGCTGCATAAAGTCTATTTGCACACAAAGGTTGGCTGCAACATGACAGCTTATTTAGGGCGGGTGCCCAGAGTGGGCTTTTTCGAAAGCCCTGGTTTGGCCAGCCAGAGCCTTTTCCGTGAGAGCCGGCGCTGCCCCTGGGCGGGGTGCCGGGCGGCTGTGCCAGCCGCTGAAGGGTGGCAGGCTGCCCGGTGCGCACACAGGACACCACCTGCCGTCCCCTGCCCGCCCGAGAGAAGAGCGGCTTCCTCATTTTCTCCACGAGGAAGTTAATTCCTTCTCGGCCTTTCTCCCAGGGCCATGGGGAAGCCCAAGCAAGATAAGGAGTGTTCACATGCTTTCTACACAGAAACTGTCGGATCAACAGAAACTACACCTTGTAAAGCTGCTGTTCTCTGATTAGAGGAGTAATTCTAGCTCACTGGAGGAGCTTTTGGCAGGTGCACAAAGTAAAAAAAAAAAAAGTAAAAGGTCACTTGTTTCAGAAAAAAGTGTTTAAAGACAAAGGACACGTTTCTGAATTGTGTACTTTTCTGTGTGCAAGTTTTACATCAACGAATGGCATTTAGGGAGGGAGGGAGGGAGGGAGGGAGGGAGGGAGAGAGAGAGAGAGAGAGAGAGAAGGGGAGGGGAGGGGAGGGGAGGGGAGGGGAGGGGAGGGAGGGGGGGAGGGAGGGAGGGAGGGAGGAAGGAAGGAAGGAAGGAAGGAAGGAAGGAAGGAAGGAAGGAAGGAAGGAAGGAAGGAAATCATCTAGTCCTGGCCAGCGTGGCTCAGTGGTTGAGCGTCGACCTATGAACCAGGAGGTCACAGTTTAATTCCTGGTCAGGGCACATGCCCGAGATGGAGGCAGCCAATCCATGATTCCCTCTCGTCATTGATGTTTGTATCTTTCTCTTCTGCTCCCTTCCTCTCAGAAATCAATAAAAATATATATATTTTTTAAAGAAAGAAAATCATTTACCCTCACATCTCCAACCTTATTCTCTTAAAAATGCCTACCTCTGAACCATTTTTCAGATGGGGAACGAAGGTTCCCAGGACGTATACAACTAGTAAGTAGCAGAACTGGCCTTGTCTACCAACCCATTGCTCAGATGGCTATCAAGGCATGTAACACTGCCCTCCCTCAGTGAAAGGACCTACACCTTTTAAGCAGTGGCAGCCTCTGAGATGACATCCTGATGATCACACCCTTGTATGACTGGCTGGCCTTGAACTCAATGACTCTATTCTAACTAACAGAATACTAGACTATGGCAAAAGTGATGGGATGACCTCCTGAAATTAGGTGATAAAAAGACTCTCTTTCTCTCTCTCTCTCTCTCTCTCTCTCTCTCTCTCTCTCTCTCTCTCTCTCTCTCTCTCTCCTCTGGAGGAAGCAAGCCATGTCATGACTAGTGCTGTGGAGAGGTCCGTGTGCCAAGAAAATTGATGTCTCCGGCCAATTGCCAATGAAGACCTGAGGCCTGCCAACAGTCATGTGAGTGAACTTGGCAATGATCTCCCACGCTGAAGCCTTGGGATGGCTGGTGTAGCCAACATCATGATTGCAGCCTTATGGAGACCTTGACCCAGAAGACCCCCAGCTAAGTCCCACCTGGATTCTAACCCACAGAAACGGTGAGAAACATGTTTCTTATGTTAAGTTCCTATATTCTGGTCCGTTTGTTACACAGCAGCAAATAACGAATACACTTTGTCAGGCAACTGTTTGTGTTTTTTTTTAATATATTTTATTGATTTTGTACAGAGAGGAAGGGAAAGAGACAGAGAGCAAGAAACATCGATGAGAGAGAGTCATCGATCAGCTGCCTCTTGCACACCCCCTACTGGGGATATGCCCGCAGCCAAGGTACATGCCCCTGACCGGAATCGAACCTGGGACCCTTCAGTCCGCAGACCGATGCTCTACCGCTGAGCCAAACTGGCTTCGGCATATTCATTCATTTTTCATCTTCTCTTCTTTCTAATAAATGCATTTAAGGCTATACATTTTCCTCTGACTACCACCTTGGCCACTTCTGATGGGTTTGGGGATGTTCTAATCAGTATTCCAAATGTTACCCTTGAATCAAGTCAGATGATCAGAAAGTTGTTTTCAGAACATAGTAAGTGCTTAATACTAAATCAAAACTAACTAGCAAAAACTAATCATATTAATAGTCTAAGAGTTAGAAAATGAAACATCAATAATACAGGATTGGCTAAGCTAAAGATGCTATGAAAATACAAATGAACTATTATGCAGCCATCAAACGTCACATTTGGGGGGGCCCTAGCCAGGTAGTTGAGTTGGTTGGAGCATAGTCCTGATACTCCAAGGTTGTGGGTTCGATCTTGATCCAATCACACACAAGCGGCAACCAATGAATGTGTAGGTAAGTGGAACAACAAATCAGTGTTTCTCTTTCTTTACTTTCCCCTCTTTAAAAAAAAAATCAATCAATAACACAATGTTTAGTCACATTTTTTGCCCTCCGTGGTCGTGTTCCTTGCTCAGGTACAGTGTGAAGCTAACAAAGCAGCTACAGAAGCAGGACTTGGTGCTGGGCCCTCAGAGATTGTGCATGAGCCACCAGGCTGCGCTAAGAGGCAGTGGTGAGGAGCAGCCATCACAAAGCTGCTGGTGTGAACTCCTCTGGGTGCCAGGAAAGGCATGCCCTAGTAGCTGGCCACTCAGGGTGTCCCTCAGGTAACACAAACACATAGGACTTTATTCAAATGCATGAGTTTGAGGGCTGCCATAGTAGAAAAGCATAAAATACAGGCAGGCATGCCTTAAAGAGACCCTGCCCAGCAGGGGAGACAAGGGTGGGCACAGGAAACAACTAGAAAACAACCCACTGCCCCCCAGTGGAGGCTTCCGGAAGGGCCCGGCTCCCAGGGCAGGAGGAGTCCTCGCGTGGAGGAAAGAGGACTGGACTCGTGGCTCCTCCACTCCCCCGCTACATGATCTCAGGTCCCGTGCGTTAACGCCTCTGAGTCCGCTCTCCTCCCGCCTAAACTGAGAGCAGGAAGTGTTGCGAGAGGAAAGGGAGGTAAAGCTGGCATCTGTCACTGGTTAGCAGACACTATTTGTTGTCACTATTAGGAGTCCCATGTCTCTCCCCCCCACCCCCCCGTGTTGGCTGGAGGGAAGCAGTCCCCCCACCTGGCACTGCATGGAGCCCTCAGGCTGTGGCATGTTCTTCTCACACATCCCAGTGTGACTCTCCTGTGCCTGAGGAACTTCTGCATTTGGGGGGCCCCCCTACATTAAAAACTATTGATATAGTCTACATGCACATACATGCATACACATATATGTAATTATATTTACACCTGCCTCGAATGAATGTATAATGGTTACATAATTAAGACATTTTCTTGCCGAAACCGGTTTGGCTCATTGGATAGAGCATCAGTCTGTGGACTGAAAGGTCCCAGGTTCGATTCCGGTACCTTGGTTGCGGGCACATCCCCGGTAGGGGGTGTGCAGGAGGCAGCTGGTCAATGATTCTCTCTCATCAATGTTTCTGGCTTTCTATCCCCCTCCCTTCCTCTCTGTAGAAAATCAATTAAAAATATATTAAAAAAATAAAAATAAAAATAAATATTTTTTAAAAAAAGAGACATTTTCTTCAACCTCCAAGTTCAGTCCATTTTCTCTTTCCAGTTTTATGAGACCTTAAAACACTTCAGCTGAAACCGGTTTGGCTCAGTGGTAGAGCGTCGGTCTGCAGACTGAAAGGTCCCAGGTTTGATTCCGGTCAGGGGCATGTACATTGGTTGCAGGCACATCCCCGGTAGGGGGAGTGCAAGAGGCAGCTGGTCAGTGTTTCTCATAGACGTTTCTAGCTCTCTCTCTCTCTCTCTCCCTTTCTCTCTGTAAAAAAAATAAAAAAATCAAAAAAAATATATTTTAAAAAAAACACTTCAGTGGCCCTACAGGGTCCTGGGTCCCAGGTATGGTGCCCCCCTGCTGCCTAACAGACCCCTCAGGCTGTGGTTTCTGGAATATGTTGCCACTGGCCTCCTGCTTCTGGGGGACTTGGGTCCTAAGGCCTCTCAGATCCCGGCCTGTCTCCTCTCCTGGCCTTTTCCTTCGGAAGAACAAACAGATCAACA